ATATACCTGAAAATATTGTTGCAAGCCATATATCAAGTGATATGAAAGGCTAGCAGCTTTCTGTAGGGAAGATAGTAGGTGAGGTCCTTGAAGCTGACTCAGACTGGTAAATGCAAGCCCTATTGCTTCAGTCCTATTACCCAGATTAAATGGTATTAGTGCTTCCAGGGGTGGGGAAAGATGCTGAATTATGCTTCTATGATTTAATATAAGAATAACAATGTATACCCCAGGTTTTTGGAATGAAACCATGCCATTTCCAGTAGATAATTCTTCATTTTTGGAAAAATACCTGCTGGTGTATTATTACACTCTGAGAAAGAAGTTCTGACCATGAAACAACAACTAATTGTTCTGCCAAGATTTCCAAGTCACAAATTTTGTAAAATCTGAAATAATGCATTCATTATAAGATTGAAGTGGTATATCTGGAATCAAGCAAGAGCCTAACCAAAGGAATGAAAGAATAAGTAGGCCAAACTCCCATATAATTCTCTGGTCTTGCATTGGTACTTCTCCCTAGTTTCACCTATGAATACATGAAAGATTCTCTATGACTAGCTGATAGATCAGCAATGCCAAAGCCTGATGTACAGATGGATGGCTTGGTGTGTGGGTACAAGTCAAAAATAAATAACGGCTTTCCTACAGCCACAGTGAGGAATGAGCTTAAAAGACTTTGGTGATGATAAATCTTCCCTATGGGTAGAAATTCTGGTAGTTCAGCTAATCATAATATTGTGTTGAAGAGAGAAAGAGATTGATGTTAAAATATACACTGACTTGTAGGCTATAGTAAATTCCTTGGCCAGCTAGTCAAAAGACAAAAAAAGAGAAAGATTGAAAAATCAGGATTAAGGAGATCATGCGGATGAACATATGGGAGGAACCATAATTCATGACAATTTCATTTAGAATGTTAACTCTTACCAGAAGGATCAGCCACAAAAGTAAAAACAGACAAAATTATTTGACTGGTTAACATTTGCCAGTCTCCATTGCCCACCCAAATGCTGACACATTCACACAAACAAACTAGTTATTGTGGCAGCTATGGACAAGCAGCTATGGAGATTATGCATGGGTTAAACAAGGTGGAATCCCATTTACCAAGGGTGATCTAGTTACTGCCACTGTTTAAAATCCAATCTGAAGCCTTGGTAGTCAATGCTGAGTCCCATTATGGAATCATAATGTCAACTCTTATAGAACTGCTTATTTCTCCTTTACATTCTATCAGTTTTTGCCTAATATATTTTGAAGGTCTGGTACTAAGTGTATAAATATTTATAATTGCTATATCTTTTTGCTGTATTGAATCTTTTTTAACATATCATATCATTCTTTGTCTTTTGTAAACTTTTTAAAGTCTATCGTGTCTGATATTAGTATAATGACCTCTGTTCTCTTTCAGTTACTTTTGCATGAAATATCTTTTCCATCCTTTCACTTTCAATTTATTTGTCTTTGGATCTAAATTAAGTCTCTTATAAACAACATATAGTTAAATCATGTGTTTTTTTTAATCTGTTTTGCCAATTTATGTCTTTTTATTTAAAGTTTAATTTATTTACAGTTAAAGTAATTATGGATAAACAGTGACTTTGTTACTTTGCTGTTTATTTTTGATACACCTTATAGCTTTTTATTTATATTACTATATTCTTTTGTGTTCACTTGATTTTTTTGTACTGAAATGTTTAAACTCCATCCTCTTTTCCTTTCATGTATATTTGATAGCAGTTTCTTTGTGAAACTGCATTGGGGACACATTTAATGTACTAAAGTTATAACACTCTCATTTGAATTTATACAAGTTTAACTTTAAGAACATACATAAACTTTGCTTCTTTATTGTACTCTTGTCACCCCTATTATTTGTTGATGTCACAAATTAAATCATTTTACTTTGGATCCCAAAACATAAACTAATAATTATTTTAAGCTCATTAGTCTCTTAAATTGTGTAGAAACGAAATGTGAAGCTACAATCCAAGATTATAATAATACTAGCTTCTAGACTAATAATTGTTTTTTTAATCTATTAGTTTCTTATCATGTAGAAACCAAAATTAGAGTTACAATTTTTACAACAATTTCAGCTTTTAAAAATGCACATGTATTTACCTTTTTTGAGATCTTTATTTCTTCACATAGCTTTAAATTGTAATATACTGGCCTTTCAAATTACCCTGCCATACTTCTTCGACCATTTCTTGCAGGGCTGCTATGGTAATAATGAATTCCTTAGTATTTATTTGGGAATTATTTAAATTCTCCCTTACTTTTGAAGGACAGTTTTGCTAAATATAGGATTCTTGGTTGACAGGGTTTTTTTTGTTGTTGTTTTTCTATTAGCACTCTAAATATATCTTCCATCTGCCTGCTGGTTTCCAAATTTCTCATGAGAAAGCTGCTGATGGTCTTATTTAAGATCCCTTGTATGTGACAACTTACTTCCCTTCCTGCTTTCAAAATTTTCTCTTTGCCTTTGGCTTTTAAGTTTGATTATGATATGTACCAGTGTGAGTCTCTGAGTTCATTTTATTTGAAGTTTGTGAGCTTCTGGATATATTCACATTTTTCATTGAATTTGGGAAGTTTTCAGTAGTTATTTCTTCATATATTCTCTTTTTCTGAAATGCAAAAAGGAGTTCTTCAAGTTGATGAAAAGGACACTAACAACATGAAAACGTGTAAAAGTATAAAAGTCACTGTAAAAATTAAAATATATTCAAATTCAGAATACTGTAATATTGTAATGTTAGCATGTAAATCACTTTAAACTCTGGTATAAAAGTTAAGGGGTGCCTGGGTGGCTCAGTCGGTTAAGTGTTTGACTTCGGCTTAGGTCACGATCTCACAGTTTGAGTCTGAGACCCAGGTCAGGCTAGGAACTGACAGTTGGAAGCCTGGGGCCTGCTTTGGATTCCCTGTCTGCCTCTTTTTCTACCCCAACCCCCCTTTGTGCCCTCTCTCTTTCTTTTTTTTTTTAATTTTTTTTAACGTTTATTTATTTTTGAGACAGACAGAGCATGAACGGGGGAGGGTCAGAGAGAGGGAGACACAGAATCCGAAACAGGTTCCAGGCTCTGAGCCATCAGCACAGAGCCCGACGTGGGGCTCGAACTCACGGACCGCGAGATCATGACCTAAGCCGAAGTCGGCCGCTTAACCGACTAAACCACCCAGGCGCCCCGTGCCCTCTCTCTTTCAAAGATAAATAAACGAGCATTTAAAAAAATAAAAAATAGGGGCGCCTGGGTGGTGCAGTCAGTTAAGCGTCCGACTTCAGCCAGGTCACGATCTCGCGGTCCGTGAGTTCGAGCCCCGCGTCAGGCTCTGGGCTGATGGCTCAGAGCCTGGAGCCTGTTTCGGATTCTGTGTCTCCCTCTCTCTCTGCCCCTCCCCCGTTCATGCTCTGTCTCTCTCTGTCCCAAAAATAAATGAAAACGTTGGAGAAAAAAATTTTTTTAAATAAAAAATAAAAGTTAACAGACAAAAGTTTTGAAATTAACTAGATACAAAAATGTGTTAATACATCACATAAAATGATGGAGGTTGTGACATCAATTATACAAAATGTGGGGGAAGGAGAAATTAAAGTGTAGAATTATTTGTATAAGGTCAAATTTTGGTTGTTATCAGCTTAAAATAAACTATTATATCTATAAAATATTTTATGTAAGCTTCATCAGACTCACCTATAAAAAATTGTAGTAGACGCACAAAAGATAAAGACAAAGTAATCAAAGCATAAGAGTATTTAAAAAAAAATCAACTTACAAAGGAGCACAGCAAGAGAAGGAAAACAACAAAGGAACCACCAGTAAACAAGGGGAACAAAGGCAATAGTAAATTCTTACTAACCCATAATTACTTTAAATATAAGTTTATTGAATTTTTATTAGAAAACAACATCAAATGATATACTAGGCAGTATACAGCAATTTACTTTACTTTTAAGGACACACATAGGTTGAATATTAAGGAATGGAAAGAGATTTTCCATGCAAATGGTAGTCAAAAGACAGTAGTGTGGCTATACCTCTATCAGAGAAAAATATGCCTTAAGTAAAAGATTGTCAAAAAAGACAAGAAAGTTATTATATAATGATAAAAGAGTCAGTCATCAAAAAGTTACAAAAATTGTAATAGAAATGCATCCAAATTCCAAACTCTTGAATATATAAATGAAATATTAACAAAACTGAAAGAAGAAATAGACCATGATACAGGAATAGGAAGGAAATACAGAAAATTCTTAGCAGTGGTGAGTGGAACTTAATTAGTGGGTGAAAACTCTTAGTTTTATGCATTTTAAGTATTTGAATTTCATAAAATTGTATTTACTTGTTTTACTTCAAAATGAAAATACTAAACTATTAAGTGTAAAAGCACAAATAACATATAAACTCCATAGATGTAAACTGTTAGAGGTGTGAGTTGATCATAAAGTTTTACTTGTTTTTCATTTTTAATATTTTTGCATCTATTTTATTTTATTTTGGAAAATATGTTCACTTAAAATGAAATGCAAACGGCTTATCATTAAAGTAAAATTTTGGAAAGATGACTAGGATAAGAAATTAAGATGGCCAAGTCAATTGTTGGTAATTTAATTGTCATATTTTGTATAGAAATTAAAGTGTAGAAATAGGAAATGTGAAAGGGGTGGCAGCAAATGTTTACAAAATAACTAAATGATACAATATTTTTGAAAAATTCTAAATTCACCCAATGTTGTGAATATGATGGCCATAATATATTGAATCTCATTTAATAAAAATGATTGGAGAAGGCAAAGCATGTACCAGAAAGTCAATATATGAAGGTCGTAAGTAGTAATTTTGTCCTTGACCATTATGCTATCAAAATTTTCACTATTTTTTCCAACCTATTTCTCATACAGTATTAATAAACTTAGGAAAATTAATTTTATTCTTTTGAATATATACGTAAGATATAAAAACTAACAAATTTATATTTGTTTGTTTCAGATATGTAATAATTTGGGTAATTGTCATTGTTTTCCTGGCCATAGGCCTCCATATTGTGAATTCCAGATTGGTTCACCAGGGGGAAGTATTGATGATGGAAATGTTCAGAAATCTGGTGAGTAGAAATAAAACTTTTAAAACAAAAATAGATGTTTTATTAAATAGCTAAAGAAATGTAATGCTGAGTCTAATCTTTCATGATCACCTGAGTAATTAAAAGGGCTATCTTGAATAGTGACTTTAATGAAATTAGTATTACACAATATTTGTAATATTTTCTCAGATACTCAGTTTTCAACATCTTAGTTAAATAAGTTAGAAGATAGTATTCAATTTTCAATAAATGCCATAGCAAGAATTCAAAACAAATTAAAATATGGAAGAATAAACACTACATAAAAGGTTTGCATTTTACATTATTAAAAATTTTGTAGACTTAAAAAACAGCTATAGCATAGGGTGGTCATTCTGAATGAAATTTGGAAAATACATATGACAAAATATAAATGGAACTAATAATAAATCATACCTTGACTGATGAAGTAAATTTTTATATTTTCTCTTATTTGCATAAATGAAGGCAAGTGTCATATTTGTTGATTCAATCATTCATTCATTTATTCATCATTCCCTATACAAACATGTTAAGTGTCTGGTAAGGCAATAGTATTGAGATCCACATTTCAGAAAGTCCAATCAAGCAACACCATGGAGAATGGATTTGATAATATGAGTCTGAATGAAACTATTCATTGGAAAACAATTACCTTAATTATAAGGACCTGAAATAAACAATAAAAGAGAAGATGAGTTGTTGCATTATCATGTTTTTATGAATAACAATGAATAAGGCATGATGGTCATTGATATGGTCATTATATTTAGCACACGAAGAATGGGTAATGAAAATATATCTACTTTGCAAAAATAATTGAAGGATGGACACAGCATGAAGATAATGTATTTAATTTTGTATAAATAGAGTTTGGGTTACATGTTAAAGAATCCATGTGAAAAACATCTATGGGAATCCATGGGAATTTGATAATAACATTGCCAACTATCAGGGACTGATAACCCTTAATTTACAGTTATCTTATATTGAAAGTAATTTCTGGAAAGATAAAAATATGTACATTTTTATGTGTGATTAGATAAGAGATTTGGATATAAATTCTGGATGCAACAGTAGAGACAATCTCTAAAATAATTGTTAATCCTTGAAAAAAAGATGACAAAAAGGAGTGGTCACAATGATTTATTGTTCTGGTCATGAAAGATTACTATAAAATTACATATTTTCATCAGGTAATAATATACAACTATGATCTTTGACATAAGGAAAACACATGAGATTCACCATTGTAGGTTAGTGAGAGAATCATTCCTGCAGGCATGTAATGGGTGGTTCAAATGAAAATTGGAAAGAAAGAATGTACAGAAAAGATATTTGAAAAATTATGACCCCTAATTTCTGTACCAGGGTGAAAAAAGCTTACACTCAGATATAAGAAACTAAATGAACTTTAATAAGGATAAATGTAAAGAAATTTACACTTAAGACAATCATAATCAAACTTCTGAAAACCATTGGTAAAATAAATAAATAAATAAATAAATAAATAAATAAATAAATAGCTTGAGTTAGTCTTTTAATTATCCTATAGTATAGAGAGGAGATCAACAAAACCTCTCTCTCCTCCAGAAGCAACTAAAAAGGTGGACAAAACCTGTCAAACCAACCATTTCAGTACTCTGTAAATCGGCCAAAAGCTAATAAAAGTATTTATTCATGAAATCCACTTCAATTAACAAGAGTGTAAATTTGTGGTAATCCTTCCCTGAGGCTGTTCTTATTTCTTCAGTCCCAGCTCTGTCAACATGGTAATTTAACTAGGACACAGCAAGATGTGAAAACCATTAGCTTCCTCCCACCCAAGTATGTAGGAGGAAGAAAGGGATTACTTGATTCATTGGAGTATTGTCAACTACACTGGCAATCAGTTTATCAGGATAACATGGAGGACTTGCTGTACAGAGATAGCAGAACTTTTATGACAAGCAACAAACTAGGGAGTAACTATAAATTTAACAGGCCCAACACACTCACATGTCCATCAGTGTATCCTCAACTGATGGAGCCTGTGCACAACACAGAGGAGATTCAAGAGATACAGGTGGAAGGTAAAATACAAGCTAAGCTTGAAAATGACCTGAAGTTTGAATGAGTTCCCTAATGCACATAAAAATCTAGTAGCAGAAAGTTAAGACAAGTGTTTGCAAAGCAAACAAGCTTTGGCTGAAAACAAAACTGAAGACACAAGGATGGCCCAGACAAAGAAAATTAAAGAAATTTAAATAAAAAACAGCATAAACAAGAGCCATACATTGCAGACTAAAAAGCTGTAGCATATTTTGTTATATGTAAGTGATGGATCACTTGGTTCTACTCCTGAAACCAATACTACACTGTATATTAACTAATTTGGATTCAAATAAATAAATTAAAAAAGGGAAGTCTTAGCTAATACAGTAGGACAAGAAAAGGAAATAGGAATTATAAAAATTTTGAAGAAATAGTACTTTTTGTGTTCTCAGATGACATGATGGTCTATGTATAAAATCCCAAATAATAATAAAAAAAAACCTCCTAGAACTAATTAACATTTATAGCAAGGTTGCAAGATATAAAATTAATATATATACTGGGTGCCTGGGTGGCCCAGTCAGTTAAGTGTCCGACTCTTGGTTTCAACTCAGGTCACAATCTCATGGTTCATGAGTTTGAGCCCTATGTGGGGCTCTGTGCTGACAGCAGGGAGCCTGCTTGGGATTCCTTCTCTCTCTCTTTGTCTCTGCCCATTCCCCTCTTGCATACACACACGTGCTCTTTCTCCTCTCTCTCTCAAGATAAACTCTAAAAAAATTAAAATGTAAAATTAATGTACAAAAGTCAAATCACCTTAATGGGTTGAATTGCATATTGTTTTCCTTGAAGTGATGGAAGAAGTAAACAATGGTAAAAGCCTCTATGTTTGGGTTTGGGGTTTCTACTAACTCATAAGTAGTAGCCAATGGCCTGGCCTTATGGTCAGAGTCCAAGGGCAATGGAAACTTGACCTATTAAAGGGATGCCTGTATGGGGGCATGGCCCTATGGAGATTTGAGGAGTGACTTAAAGTAGGACATGTTGATGCTCATCAGAATCCCCTTGCAAGTCAGAAGGTGATTGAATTGATAATCAGATATTCCCATGTGATTCCTTGTGATGGCCACCTGGGTCCACAAAATAAAGGTATATAGGGATATTGCAGCAATGCAAAGATGGACTGAATTCAGACACATTGTTCTTGCAACCTCTGAGGCACGAAATGCCAATAAGAGCTCTTCTGTCTGTCACTAAAAGAGACAAAGACTGAAGATGGATATGTGGCAGGTTCCCTGGTGGGAAGGTCCTGATCATATCCAACAAGTGAGACTGATGCTGGTAGCCCTGGGAAGCTACACATGGGTCCTAACAGAGATAGACTCTGGCCTGGGGTTTGCTTGCTTGGTGGTAGATTCAAATGCTCAGAGTGCTATTAGGAAACAAAAACAAAAACAAAACCTGAAACAGAACTTTTTCACCAATTTGAATTGTTGACCATCACTTGTTTAGACCAAGAAACACATTTTACAGTCTATAATGTCAAAACTATGGGCAGAGAGATATCCTCCTCAGACTACTAGTTTGATAAAGAATTGGAAACATTGTCTAAAATGGAGGGAGATAAAGGCATGAGGTCTTACACACCTTCATGTGGGTATGCTCACATTCAACATGAGTGAGGCTAAAAAGAGTGCCCCCTCTTGGTAGATTTCTCTGTTTTTCTAGTGTATCCAAGTCTGCAAATACAAGGCAAGGAACAAGCATAATTCCTAAGTAAGAAACAAAACTATATGTTGTCTTTATATCAGAATTATGAAAGGCCTTGATGGGGAAGAATGTACCTTTACCCCATCTGGCAAAATTTAGGCTAACCATAAATGCAACTATATTGCCTGTGGGTAAAGATAGTCCACTAGTTCTGTACCTTTTTAATCTTAGCCTCTGTGAACAAGAGTGAACTGAGGGGAAAGGACTTTCTAGATAGACTAGCATTGTTGCCTGCAAGCTAGATCAGCACAGTAACCAAGCTTAATGTACCTTCCAAAGCTGGAACAATTTGTGTGCAAATGGAAAGAAGGGGGAATAATTGTAAAGGATAGAGGAATGAATAATTGGGTTATTTAATGAGAGAAATCCAATATTACATTAACAGCTCAAAAGGGACTAAACCAGAGATGATACTGTCTTAGCTTGATGGTATTAGATGCCTGAAAGAACGAAGCCCCAGTCTAGATGCCACATAGGGCTATTACACAGAGAATTTGTCTCTAACAACATTCCAATATTTGGGCTCAGACCATCTCACTAATTCCTATCTAGCATGTTCAGTTAATATTGCTTGAAGGGCAGATTTATACCCTTCTGTTTTATAAAACCAAGTATGGGTTACATTCCCCTCAGATACAATGTTCATCTCCATAATAGCATCAGGTAAAAGAGATGCAACCATTTCACATAAAGTTTTTATGTATACCAATTTCATAATCTTATCAGCCCTCATATTTTTATGTTCTTCCAATCTATTTTAGCTCACATCAAGACTTCACCAATGTGTTTTGGGTACCACACTCTCTAGGGTTTCTGTATCAAGGAGTCTTGGAAATTTCTCCCCCTCATTTCCTGACCATTTTACCCATTCTTGTGAACAAGTCTTTGGGAGACATCCCTAGTGAGAAATCAAGCCGAGGGATTCAGGCCCTTTTGTCCATCTTTAACTCAATCAACCTGCTTAACCACTACCACAAGCACAAGTGATTTCTGGTCTTGTTTCTCATTGTAATCTCCACCTTAATGCTTTTTAAAATCTTCCAAACTGAGAAAAATATAATGAGCTTGTTCAGGAACTTCAATATTGGGGGACCAGCAGGAGGTCCCTTTTGTTTACCCTACCTCTGGTAGTGTGGTATTAAAACCTTCGTTTTGGAGCACCTGGGTGTCTCAGTCAGTTAAGTGATAGACTTTGGCTC